GATATGGTGCATAAGAGGGGTGTGGTAGACTTCGCATGGAGTGATCAGCTTGACTACTGTCTGGATCGTATTTCTAGACGAGAAGAGAACGGGCACTAAGGGAAGAAGATTTTAATGATGTCAGCAGGACTGCATGTAGCTCTGACAGTAGAGAGGTAGGCAGGTGGGAGATGGAATTTTTTTTATTTTAATAATACAATTTGACTTAGCAAAAGCAGACTCAAATCAGCCGGGTAGGTAGACAATGCTAAATCTGCTGGGATAAATAAAACACTGCTCCCTTTCAAAACGCCTTGTGGCTAGTGGTATCCATACGTGGTCACCCAGGAAGACTGAGAAAAATCTAGTAAAAGATGAAAAGCTGTTTTGTGGAATTACTGGGACACCAGAAAGCTGTAGTTTATCAGTTGGGTCTGCGGAGTGCGTTGGTGGGTTTTCTACAGGCTGAGCATTTTAAAAGTCATTTTACAATTGCACTGTGAGAAAACACCCAGGACAAGCCCTGACCTGGTGTGAATGTGACCTTGGCTCATTTTTGTCTGTGGCCTTCCGGGGCCGCAGAGCATTGCCCATTTGTGTAGTTCAGGGCCTACGCAGAGATATAAGTAATCTACACAGGATCCTGAGGGTTTCCTCCCAGGATCCCTTTGACCTCACTGCCTCCCTGCGACATGCAAAATTCTGGAAGGGCCCGTGAGATTCTTACCTGTCGTACACATGCACATGGCCCCTCTCCAGGAGAATGGGCAGAACGTGTGGAGATGAGGACATATTATAGTTGTGATTCTCTTCTGTCGTGTACTAGAGGAAGTCCTGTGGGGGCCTACCCACTCGGTTACAGAGGTGATTTATAGCTGGCCACAGAGGGAGCGCTGCAGGACATGAACCCATGCTAATCATTAGAAAACCAAGCATCTGTCTTGTGAGCTACCCATGTCAGGCAGCTGTGGGCAACCCTTGAAAGTTTAGGGCCATCCCTGAGCAAGTATGTTATGAAAGCAAGGACGTGAGTCACCCAAGCATAGGAAAATGCATCCTACCCGCCACTCATGATCTTGGATGTAACCACTGGACCTGAAATAAGAGTCTCAGTGCCATACAGCATCTTGCTTTCAGCATGATGAGATTCTAAGGAAAGGACCAAGATAATCTGTGCTTGGATTATGACCTATAGAAACAAGGTAAAAACAAACGGAAAAAAAACTGTACATTTTGCTAGCAACACATTGGAAACATTCGGTACACACCAATGGACCTTGTATCATGATGGATCTGAACTCTGCCCTCTGATTACTCAAACTATGGGAATGTGAACTCCTGTGATAGATTGGGATAGCTGCCCTCAGAATAATGCTATCTCTAAAACAACAAAAGCGTAAGACTTGCTTCGTGTCCTTCGTTTCTGCTGAGTGACTGCCTGCCTGCTTCAGGCTCTACCTGGTTTTTGCACGTTCTAGTATCTTCTTTACATTCTTTTAGTGCTTGCAGTATTTATCTATAGGCAGGTTTATCTAGCACAAGCTATCTCATGGAGATTTGGGATAAGCTTTGAGGGAAATACCGCGCAATTTCACGGTGCACTGTGGTGATGAGTTATTCATGATCTAATAAAGCCACTGAGGATTTGAATGCAAAGCAAGACACACCAGTTAGCCATAGAATCTGGGCAGTGGTGGCACACACCTTTAATTCCAGGACACAGAAGACAGAGGCAAATGGATCTCTGTGAGTCCAAGACCACCCTGGGCTACATGAGTGTGAATCAGTCTAAAAGAGAAACAGAGCTCACACCTTTAATTCCAGCACTAGAGAGGTCTGTAAGAAAGAAGCAAAGGGTCTCATGTGAGATTCAGTTTCCAGTAGTGGGGAAGGCAGGATCTCCATTTCAGCCTTGGTAGAGGTAAGAGCTACCAGATGGTTGATTTGCTTTTCTGGTCTTCAGTGGCTTTATTAGATGGTAAACAGTCTATCACCACAGGGCCCTGGATGCAAACACAGTAAAGAAAGGTCATTCTCTGCTTTAGGGTCTCAGTGGGTAGACATGGCTGTCATTGACCAAAATGGGAAGGATTAAGGGCACTCAACTGCATGTTTGAACTCAAACTCAGGAGTAGGAAGCTGGGAGATGTTCTTTACAAACACGAGGCTGCCAACTCATCAACAAATTGATTCAAAATAGAATTGTCCTGGGGAAATTCAGAACTTAGAGAGAAGGAAGAGAACGAAGGAACCGAAGCCTGAGACAATGATACCTTCAAAGTGACCTGAAAAGATGTATTTTAGGGACAAAGGAACACGTTCAGTGCTGTAACATGTAAGATGAATGTTGAAACTTACCATTGAATTTAGCAAAACGGGGATGTTTGTTCTCCTCCAAGAACAATTCTAGTAAGATGTTGCAGGAGAAAACATGATTGGGGTGAAGGTGTGGGGTGTTTAAAGACAGCAAGGTAAGACCCTTCTCAGGGCATCTTGCAACTGAAAGTTAGCTGTTGTGGGATGTTGGTACACTGTGAAAATGTATTGCTGGGTTTGGTGTACTACCGCAAAGCCGAACGGCCAGAAGCTAGGCAGGAGGTATAGGTGGGACTTCCATACAAAGAGGGAGAAGCTGGGAAGAAGAATCTAGATATGCTGGAGATGCATGGGATGCACAGAAATGGAGAAGAGGTGTAAAATAAAAATCCACATGGTAGAATATCGATTAATAGAAGCAGATGAAGTTGTAAGAGGTAGCTGGGGAGAAGCCTAAGGTAAGACCAAGCTTTCATAATTAATAGGAAGTCTCTGTTTTGTCATTGTTTGCGGGCTGGTGGTCCTGATGAGAAAGGACAGCTGGCAATGAGCAGACAAATGGAATGGATCCTTGGGAAAGAGTCCACATACGATTTCTTCATTTTGTTGCTTATTTCTAACTGGGAGAACACACCCTACACCTGCAGGCTGGTGGGGATGAACAATGTGGACAGTACACTGACAGGCAAAACAATTAGTGGGGAGGATTACTGGCAGAGCACACTTAGAAGCGTGCAAGTGCATTCTCTCCTTGGAAACGAAGGGGGAGGGACTCTGCTTGCATGTAGGAAACAGGTGGGCGGGGTATGTCATCCTGGGAGCTAGAGAACCAGGGAGAGTTTGCAAGACACCACAGAGCACAGGATAGAAATCGGGATGAGGGTCACTGGCAGTGCAGGAGACCAGCTGGGATTAAATTGTGGCGACATTAAGACTAGTCAGTGTGGGCTTTAATAAAGGTAGCGTCTCCCGGAGGAGAGCTCAAAGACGAGAAGAAACGAGGAAGTTGGGGTTTGTGGAAGGGACCAGTTAGAGGAAGTGACCTTGGTGAGATACAGGACTTTGAAAGGAATGGGGTGAGCGGGTGAGAGGAACCTACAGGGAAGGGTGAGTTAGATGAACGGTGTGGTGTCTGAGAACCAACTCAAAAAAGGCCTCGATAAAAAGGTTGTGTTTTTACTGGAGAGATGACTTTGGAGAAGCATGGTATCCAAGGGTGTTGGAGTTAATGTTCTCCAAATGAATTTCTTTTTTTTAAAGAATTTATTTATTATGTATACAGCACTTCATGTATGCCTGCAGGCCAAAAGAGGGCACCAGATCTCATTACAGATGGTTGTGAGCCACCATGTGGTTGCTGGGAATTGAACTCAAGACCTCTGGAAGAGCAGCCAGTGCCCTTAACCTCTGAGCCATCTCTCCAGCCCTCCAAAAGAATTTCTAAAGCTCAGGAAGGACTGGGTAGAGCATTGACTATGTAATGACTGAGGAGGACAGAGGACAGGGAAGAGCCCGTTGAGCCTTTTGTGGGACTCAGAGAGGACCCCAGAGCGAGTGACATGTGAATGGAGAGGGCAAGCTCAACCACCAAGGAAGGCCTGGGTGCTGGGGACTCTCTGCATGCTTAGGGACACATAGAGTAGAGAGCGTGACTGTGGACAGTCATTAAAACTTCAAAGAAAAGGAGACTGGCTGTGTGGAAGGGGGTGATAGCGTGCTGCACCAAAGGGAGGAATTGGTTGCATTGCAGAAACAGCAGCAAGGAAGGCCTCCAGCTGGTCAGTCACCCTGCCACCATCGCACTCAGAGCACCCCGCACTAGTGAGGGCTCTGGAGCAACCAGTGTCCTTGGGGAGGAATAGATAGGGAGGGAGAAATTGTCCTGCTAAGATTCTAAGTTAGCTGGCTGCTGAGCCTGCACACTCAATTGGCCTTCCCTTCCCCCCGGCAGTGAAACTCTCATAAGGGGAGAAGTGTTGGGGTGCACACTCCTTAGCATCCCACACACGGAAGCATCTTATTTCCTTAGAAGAGACCAACGTTTTCTAAGACTTCAAGAATTTTTCCTCTGGGTCCTCGTTCGTTTTTATACCCCTTGCAACACCTGAACAAGGCTTGAAATATAAAAAGACACAATAACCACTTAACTAAACTTGTACGACTTTGAAGTTCACAATAGCCAATATCTTCAATGGCAGTTTTTGGAGCCAAGAGCCTGAACTCAAAAGTAGGGCATAGTCTTGAGATTCCTGCATTGGTCTTAGTTGTAAATCTGAGATGCCTTTCCAGAAGTAAAGCTAATTACAAAATGAGAGCCAAGGATTCTTTCTCGAGAGATGAGGACAGCACATTGGAAGGCATCAAGAGAGTTAATGGTTTTTAGCATTTTCGTTATTCTTCCATTTTGAAGAAGAAACCCTGCCATTTAAAACCATGCAAAGCTAATTAAAGATTTTCCACTATTTCGTTATCTGAATGTACTTCCAAATTCTGACTTAAAACTCTTATCACAGAAACTCAACATCCCTCCATGAACAGTAAACGAGCATTCAATTAGCCCTTCAGTACGAGTGCGTGTTAAACAAAAATATACTTCATTGCTAATCTCATTCTTTGAAAATGCAAACACTCAATTTTTTTAAACCCAAAGAGTTTCCTTTTATTTCATTCTCAAGGGAGAAAAATAGTCTCTTCTTGTTTTACAGGGAAGACCCGAGTTTTCTGAAGTCGTGAGGAGACTGGAGGAGTGTCTGTGCAATGTGGAGGTAAGCATTTGACCTTGTGAAATGGCTGTTTAAGAAATGCCTGAGATGTCCCAGGTGTCACCAGAAGGATCCATAAAGGCCGGACACTAAATCATCTTAGAGGCCCTAGCAGCCAACTAAGTACACGAATAAAAGCAAAAGGGGAAAACTGCTCAAAGTGGTTCCCTGGGAAGAAGGAGATCTAGGAACACTTGCACCCTATTTGCTCTTCTGGTGTTCCTAACATGAAGTTCCCTCCTAACCGCAGGGTAAGAAATATCCCTAGCTCACCAGCCTGGTACAAGGTGTGCTCCCAACCTCCATCACTGTCTAGACTCAAGTCTCCTACAAAGCAGTCTTACAAATTGCCGGAATTGCACTGAACTCTCTTTCTCTTTTTGGAGCCAAAGATCCCTCTTGGCTGATCCCAGGCTTCAGAATATTTTCTTTCTCAGGGCATGAGATTCCTGAGTAAACACCAATTTCTTGGGGGTACATTTCCTCAAGGGTCTAGTAGACAAAAGCCATGGCCTGGGATTATCCTTATAAAACCTTCATCCCTGCTAGAGAGGTTGCAAAAGCTGTCAGGGAGCAGAGCTAAGCTGTGCTTAAAGAAAGTGACTGTATAGCCCTTTGGTATGTGACCTATTGACAAAGTCCTTAGAAAGAACCGTCTCGGCTGCTTCTTCCGGGGCAGAGGCAAATTCATATTGAATTTTGGTGGCTCTAAAATAATCAGGCCAGAGAATGGTTGTAGTCATGCTGAACTTAAAAATATATATGTAAAGGAAGAAAGGAAGGAAGGAAGGAAGAAAGGCAGTGGAGAGACAGTTCAGTAGCTACTGATGCTTACTGCTCTATCAGAGCACCCAAATATGGATGCTAGCACCTATATTAGGCAGCTCACAACTTTCTATAACTCCAGCTACAAGGTATCCAACAAAAGTTTGGCCTCTTCGAAACACACACACACACACACACACAAATATATATAAATAAAACAACTTATAAATATAGCAAACATATTGGAAGGTAAATATTTAATAATTTTTTTCTACAAATTTTGTGCATAGGTGGTGAGCCAGCTGGAAAACTATGCCATTGTCCACTTGTGTTCAGTAGGAAAGGAAACACTATCTCAACCAGCACACAGATCTGCTGGATGGCATAGTCTTAAAGGGACACAATGATAGATGCTAGTGATCAGGCCAATGGAAAAAAATTCCCTTAATATCGAAGAGCTGTTTGCTTTAATTTTCTCTGTGATTGCCTTAATTTGCTATATAACTGGTCATGAAATAGCATTTAAAAATAGGCAAAGGAGCTAAAACAGGAGCACCCATTCAAAACTAATGTTTTAAATGCACAGGGTAGAGACCTCATACAGGGTCTGATTGTGGTCCATGGGTCTGAAGAGGGAGGGCGATGAAGCAATGAGGTGAGCCTGCATGACAACATCAGAAAGAGCATTCCACAAGAAACATTTCCTTCTTTAAAATAAATCTCAGCTCAGCATCGCTGGAACCTGGTCTATGGGGAAATACTTCCAGGATGGCAGGCACAGCCACACTCTCTCATTCTTCACAGAAACTCCAGGAGAGGAAGCCTCTCATTGACGGAGAGGCATCCTTCTTCTGGCATACAGAAAGTTATGGATATGTGGGGAGTAGCTGCCCATGTTTCAGGACTGCCTACTGATAAGAGCATCTTCTTGAGGACTTGGCTGTTACAAGACACCTCAGGGACTGAGCTCCAAGTATCCTCATATATGAATGCTGGGGTTTGACCAGACAAGGCTGTTCCTAGCCTAGGATTATAGATCGTTGGGTGGGAACAGGAATTACCCCATGTGCTGGCTCATCTCATGCCAACTTGACACACAAACTAGAGTTATCTGAAAGGAACTTATATGGAGAAATATGCCTCCATAAGATGTAACTGTAAGATGCTTTCTTAACTAATGTTTGATGGGGAGGGCCCAGCCCATTGTGGACGATTCCATCTCTGGGCTGGTGGTGCTAGGTTCTATAAGAAAGTAGACTGAGAAAGCCAATAAGCAGCAGCCATCCATGGCCTCTTCATCAGCTTCTGTCTCCAGTCTTCTGCCCTGTTTGTGTTCCTGACCTCTTCCTTCCATGATGAACAGCAGTATGGAAGTTTAGGCCAAATAATTCCCTTCCTCCCCAAGTTTCTTGATTATGATGTTTCCTTGCAGCGATAGAAACCCTAAATTAAACACCCCCAAAAAACAGGGACAATGAAAGGATATGGAAAACCAGCTTGACTTTGGGGTCACTCTTCCCTAGGGGAGAAGATAAAGCATTTGTATGCAGAGAGAAACGGTAACACTAACTAACGATGCAGGCTTGTGGGATCCCATACGGTTCTATGCTCCCCCACAATCTCTTCAGTGTTTCAGTCAGACTGACACCTGGGTCAAGAGGACCGTGGTGGTCACATTGGCAAATGTGACAGTGTTGACAGGGTTAGAAAAAAACTTGAAGGCAAGAATCTAGGATATCTTGGGAAAGGAACAATGCACATGACTAGCAAGAATAAGTTTGAAAGTAATCACAATACTGTTCATCCCAGAGCCATAGAAACAATAATGAAAGAGCAGACCGGTGGCGTGACTTCAAGATATATATAACGTATATAATAAGCTCAGAGGCGGCTATGACCTGAGGGGACTCTCCTGTTGCAGAACAAAAGATCTGACCCTCCCTGCTCTGTGATGAACAAACAGAAGAGACCCAACTGGTCTCTCAGTCTTTAAAGGAAAATGAAAAAAACTGCCACTTAACCTCCTAGTGCAGAGCAATTGGGATGCTGAGTCGGTTGAAATTCCATATCATGAGGAGCATTTGAAAGAAGCGGGGATTTCTACCAGAAGGTTGAGCAAATTACAGTGAGCCCAAGGGCTGTTTCCAAGCATTCAAAGGACCTTCAGTTAGCCAGGACATTGGTTTGTTCTCTTTGGGAGAAACATCTTCCAGATAGCAAATCATGCTCCATCATACAAAATGGCCGTATTCTTACGAAGGCAGCAAATCATGCTCCATCATACAAAATGGCCGTATTCTTATGAAGGCAGCAAATCATGCTCCATCATACAAAATGGCCGTATTCTTATGAAGGCAGCAAATCATGCTCCATCATACAAAATGGCCGTATTCTTATGAAGGCAGCAAATCATGCTCCATCATACAAAATGGCCGTATTCTTATGAAGGCAGCAAATCATGCTCCATCATACAAAATGGCCGTATTCTTACGAAGGCATGTGTGATTGTTGCCGTTGTCAGCTTGGTAGGATCTAAAGTCATTTGGGAAACGGGTGTCTGGACGATTGTTTTGATTACCTTGATTATGTTCACTGATAAGGGGAAGCCCACTCCCTGGGCTGAGATCCTAGATGGTGTAGAAGGGAGAAAGAGAGCTGAGTGGGATGTGTTACTATTGCTTCCTGATTGTGGATGTAACCTCTCAGCTGCCTGAGTCCCCCGCCCCCGAAGATGGACTCTACTCTGAACTGCGAGCTGCAACAAAACCTTTCTCCCTTAAGTTGCTTTGGTCAGAAGAGTATGTTATCACAATAACAGGAAAAGAAAGTAAGCATGTGAAGCCGTGTTATATCATGGGGAAAGATCTAGCAACAAATAAAAGGAGCTCTGCCCCGAATCTTGAGAGCTTGTTTGGAGGTTCTAGCAGGGGAGCGCAGCTACTCGTATACCCTTGACCGAAGACCGGTCCTCCTCTATTCGGGGAAGGTCGTCCTCTTCGACCGAGCGCGCAGCTTCGGGAGGGACGCACATAGAGCGGTGAGGGAGGAAGGGGACACCCGCCTAGCCAGCCAGATCAGCCGAATCAACCCTGGCGATCAATGGGGTGACAGATGTCGCAGCCAGATCGCCCTCACATCCCTGCCCCGAATCTTATCACCACTGTGAAGAGTGTGGCAAATCTTTTGATCATCAAACAATAACCCTCTAAATAACGTTTTATAAATTTGATTAGGGGTTACTGTGTTTCAGGGGGGGGAGGTTAGAAGTAAAGATAATGCCAGCTGTCAAAATAGAAATGAGTCAAAAAGTAGATGAAGCTTAGCAGGTCTTAACACCGGAGGTTGAAGGCAAGAGCCAGAAGCAAATATAGATGAAAGAAAAGTCAGTAAGAAGACTCTCTCAAATAGAGTGTTCTAGAACAGGTGCCTGTTGGAGTTAGTAAACAAGCCTTCCATGCCCTCTCCATCCAGCTCATGTCTCCTGCCTCAAGTAACAGCAGCGGGTCTCTGTCACCCTCCTCGTCCTCTGACTGCCTGGTGAGCCGGGGAGGGCCCGGCCGGAGCCACGTGGCTGCTTTAAGGAGCCGATTTGAGTTGGAATATGCCCTAAATGCAAGGTCCTACGCTGCCTGGTCCCAGAGGTGAGTGACATTGTCAGCAGGGGTCTTACTGTGAGTTCAAATTTTAGTTTCTGATCCAGAACAAATCACCTGGATGAAGGTTGTCTGGAGGAGCCTGTATGGAGGTCTGGAGAAACACTGGAGAGAGTTTTGCTTTCCTTACACTGTGAACAAAAATGTAAACTTTCAGCCTTCTGTAGTGTAGATCCTTCTGTAATAGCAGTAACAGCAGTGAGCTCTGTCACCAAGAGAAGTGTCTGTTGTAAAGTGGTGAAGTGTTCTAAAGTGTTGAATTATTTTCGGGTGACTGTGAAATTCAAGGAAGGATTCTTTTGTGTGAACCTGGAAACAGTCTAGGGGAATACACCTCCCCTACAACACTGGAAACATTCACTCAAACAAACCTTGTACACAAAGTTTGTTTAGAGCAAACTTTTTCTCAATAACCAAAAAGTGGAAACGACTTAAATGTCCATCAAAGGATGGAGAGACAACATGGTGAGGGGGGATCACCATACAGTACAGCATTATTCACCCGTTAAAAGAAATAAAATATAGATAAACCTTGAAAACATACCTACAGAGTTACAGAGTCCCTGTTTTGTATGGCCTCAATAATATGAGGATCCAGATAGGATAGGTTTGCAAATAACTAAGGCTCTCTCTCTCTCTCTCTCTCTCTCTCTCTCTCTCTCTCTCTCTCTCTCTCTCTCTCTCTCTCTCTCTCTCACACACACACACACACACACACACAATTTCAATACTACATAGCTTCAATAGTTGGGTAAATTTTCTTACAGATGAGCATGTTGGAAGCCTGATGGCAGAAAGACAGCATGACTGGGTTCTGGTCCTCTAGGGGTAGGAGGACACAGGGCCATCATCATGTCCCTGTAAAGAGCATGACTTCTCCTGACTCAAGACTCCACCCGCAGATCCAGCTCATCTTAATTACCTCTCCAGAGACCCTGTTTTCAGTGCAGCCATGTGAGATATCAGAGCTTCAGCATATACACTTGAGGAGAGATGTAATCTGTTACATACCAACCGGTGCATCTATGAAACAGGAAACAAATCAAAAATAGGTTGATGTTGGCAAAAGCTGACAGGAGAGAGGGTTTTGGAGGAGCTTCCTAACGGGTGTCAGTTCTGTTCCGGATAATGGAATTTGAGAGTAACAGGTGGTCCTTATGATGGCATTATTAATGTAGTAAATACCACTGAAATTCTCATTTTGTAGTTATTGATTAATGTTATCTGAACTTCATCAGAAGAAACACACTGATTAGCAAACCTCTTAGTGATCTCTTCTGTCTACTAGAGGCCAGACGTTTTATCTCTGAACCTTACTGTAGATTCAGGGGGAGATACATTAGTCATTAAGATGTCTGTGCAACCATCCATCTCAAAATTCAGCCATACCTAGTCATTTCTAGTTCAGGTGCCCATAAGCTTGTTTTCGGTGAGCTTGGCAGTCATTTCTAGCTCAGGTTCCAATAGGCTTGTTGTGGATGAACTTGGTGGTCATTTCTAGCTCAGGTACCAATAGGTTTGTTCTGGGTGAGCTTGGCAGTCTTTTCTAGCTCAGATTCCCATAGGTTTGTTCTGGGTGAGCTTGGCGGTCTTTTCTAGCTCAGATTCCCATAGGTTTGTTCTGGATGAACTTGGCAGTCTTTTCTAGCTCAGATCCCCATAGGCTGGTTCTGGATGAACTTGTCATTGGATTCCATTATTGCTGGTTTTCTATCCAGCTTGGCCCCACTGCTGCTTCAGCCCCAAAAATAACACACAGACTCTATATTAGTTATAAAACTGTTGACTGGTTAGCCAATGGCTAGGGTTTCTTATTGACTAGCTATGTGTTAATTATTAGCCCATTTCTATCAATCTAAATATTTCCATGTGGTCTTGGCTTACTGGAGAATGCCCAGATCTGTTACTCCTTTGGTGGCTATGTGGCGTCTCTCTGAATTCTCTCCCTACCTTTCCCAGAATTCTCCTTGTCTCCTGGCCCCACCTATCTTCCTGCCTCTATTGGCCAACCAAGAAGAAAAGCATATATACAGAAAGACATCCCCCATCACTCCATTGTATCCAGATCTGCTCTGTGATCCTGGGGCTCCTTGGGTGCACATTAGGACATACTAGCTGGGTCATGCTCTCCTCACAGACAAAGGCAGGAGCTCCACACGCACGCTTCAAGGGTTAGCTTGTGTTCCAGCCTCGGGCATCAGCTTTTCACAGATCACAGTGCCAGCATCAAAAGCCTCATTTAACCACCATCAGAGAGAACTACAAAGTCACAGGATGAAGGACGCAGATCAGGAATGATGTCCCTTGTTAGATAGGAAAACAATACTGTGTGGAAAAGCAGCATTTGCAGCATGATCACGACTGACAAGGAATTTGTCTGGCTCTTGGTGAATTGAGCATCCATTGCTGGTCTAACTGAGCACATGAAGGAGGAGATTGGGTGAGGTCAGAGCTCACTCATATGAGCAAGGTTGGCAGGGCCCATGCTCCAAATTGGAACCATGAAGTCAGAAGTTGTGAGCCTGATGGGAACCCTGGAATCTGGAACGTGACTCCAGAAAGGAATGACCTAAGGCCCTCTCTCCTACAGGAGCCAAGAGCTTCTGGACATGGACACAGTTACATGTACACCCAAGGCAGACTCCTCTCTCTACCACTGAGAAAGCTCTCCACAGCTCCAGGGTAGGAAGGCTTTGGCAAGGGTCTTTCACTGCCTACCAACTGCTAATACTGCTTCTTCAGCTGTGCTGTTCCTGTTCTGCAGAGTTTCAGAAGCAGCTATGAAGAGATGGACAGTTGAATAATGACAGCTATCATTTAAGGGATGTCCTGGGATTAAGTACGAGCACTTTTGATGGGTAACCAGGCAGAGCCGACACCATTGGCTGTTGGATTCCCATCTTCACTACAGCTCCACAAGGACCCACGGGGCCAGCATTCGATGGGGTTCAGACACAACCCCGCCTTCTAGTTGTGTCTCTGTTTCATTACCCACCCACCCCCACCCCTGTTTGTGGTCTTATCAAGCAGCGCTCTGAGCTGTCAGATCATGGTATTGAGGTTTGTCCAGCAGAGACAGCAGCACGTTTGTGGTCTTATCAAGCAGCGCTCTGAGCTGTCAGATCATGGCATTGAGGTTTGTCCAGCAGAGACAACGGCAGTTCAGAGGAGGAGCCATAGAATCAAGGAGGGGCGCTGCTGCGGCAGCAGTGGGTGATTGACAGATGCAAGTGGGCACACACACAGAACACGGATCTGTCACTGCAGATGAGTTGGGGATTTGCCACCTAGAGAGTGACTCAGACCGGACTGCGCAGCAGCGCACAGGGTGGGGTGAATCGGATGGAAGAACTTGGCTTTCTCTACGCAGTCAGAGCCCAAGGAGACTCCTCAGCACACAGCCCGGTCTGGGTCTTTTAGCATCTCCATTGCGTGTTCTCAGCTGCTCCTCTACTACCTTCTGTCCCTCCGCTGTGGTGTAGGACTGTTTGCTTTTTTCCCCCTCCCTGAGCATTTCTCTGAACGTCTTAGTCCTCTACCCACAGCATCTGTGAACTGAAGGCTAGTTCATTCATTGCCCTACCCCTAGCAAGCAAAGTGAATTACTTAAGGTCCGTGACATAAATGTCCTAGTGAACCAATGAGTAGGGAGAAGAATCGTGTCTTTTTATGCATGGCCAAACCCAGCTATCTTCTGGTTTGATTGACAGGAGATCGTTATGTATCAAATATTTGTAGAGCAGATAAAGAGAGGAAATGGGATGAATTGGCCCAATATAGGATGATCATTATGAGTTCAGAGTGGAGTTGGTGAATGGGCTCTCTTTCCCCGTTGCTCCGTGGAAACACCTGCCATCGTGGAAACACCTGTGAAATGCTGGCCACTGTTTAAATACCTTGAATGCTCATGTAATTAAGTTTTAAGAGGCAGACCTTTCAGCTTTTTGTAGATGAAGAAACGGGCTGGGAGAGTATAAGCAAGCTCTCCCGAGTGAATGAGAAAAAAGCAGGAGGCCGAGCTGGATTCCCACAGGAGCCTCCGCTGGGCTTGCTCAATTCTCCTCCAGCAAGGGAGGCAGCATGTTCCAGAGACTTGTTATGCTCTGCCAAAGCTTGTGATTTCTGGACTTTTCCCAGTTTATTCTGGAAGTTGATCAAGGAATGGATTCAAGGGCTCCTTGCATGCCTGCTTTTCCAGCTTTTTTTTATGAAGGTGGAGGAAGGGAGGTGGGCAAACAGTTCTTAAAGGGAGAGAGGCCAAGGACACAGGAATGGATGGTCTCAGGCCAGCAGGACCATGAGGTTAGCTGCCTAGAACGGTTATCAGCTTTGATGCCAGCATCATCAATGTAACTCACAAAGGACCAGTGCCTGGGGTCAATTAAAGCCCATCAGTGTGGCTTCTTCTGGGTTTCAGAAGATCCGAAAGTTCAGGGTAACCCCAACACAGCAAAACATGGGTAAGCTTAAAGAGAAAGAGGTTTGGTGATAGACTGCGGGGTCCCTCTGTGGGAGGGAGTCGCACCTGCTGGCAGGAATGGAGGAGGACACCCTGCCAACATTGCGTATTGACCAAGACAGGGTCTGCTATAAAGGAGGATTGAGTCCCTGTGCTATTAAGGCCTCAGTACTGGGCTTCCGAACTCACCCAGTTACACAGGAAAAAGTACAATTGTGTGTGTGTGTGTGCACGTGCACGTGCGTGTGTGCATGCGTGTGTGTGTGTGTGTGTATGTGTGTGTGTGTGGTCACTGTGGTTCTGAAAAATGTGTGCAAGCCTTGGCGTGTGGTCCCCACTAACATGTAGACCTGGGCCTCTCAACAACGCGTTAAATCACTCATTTACACACACTTACAGTCATGATGTCAATTGCCAAAAGGTTGGAATTTGGTAGCTCTTGGTTTATTGCATATTTCCATCGTTTGTATGCATATTTGTTTCTAGTTATTGTCGTTATTTTATTCCCCTGTGTAAAACAAATTTCAAG